CCAACATGATCCTGTAATGCTGCATAAAATTATCAATGCTGAACTCTTACAGAATCTACAACAGCTGGTACGAGCTTTATCAGTGAAATATTTATTGTTGGAATTATTTTTATCCTCGTCCTTACTGTTTATACATTATTCTATTACAGCTCATGATTACGCCGCCGGTTAACAGCACTAACAATTTCATAACTGTATTACGAATGCTCTCTGTGATATCAAATCGCTGTCCCGACTTGGCGCAATTGTTGCTGCAACAAAATATAGCTTTCACATTAAGTTATCTTTTAACTGGATCTCTGGAAGTTAAAACGGAAGATGTAGAGTTGGTGCCGCGTACACCGCAGGAGTGGTTCGAAATTACGTGTTTAATCGAGGAGCTTATGCCTCCGTTACCAACAGATGGAATATTCAGTGTAAATAGTTTACTCGAAAGGACCAGCAATCAACAGGAGACTGTCCAGTGGGAATGGCGTGACGAAAGACAATGTTCCCATCCGTTCAGTACTATAGATTCTAGAATTATCGAGGTAATTTTATCGCTTTAATCAATGAGTGAATATGAAAAATTAATCGTTAAATACATGTTTTAGATGGCGTTTCAAAATGGCGAAGATGAGATATGCCTTACCTCCTTAGGACGAACTTACACTATAGATCTGACTGTGATGAAACAAATTAATGAGGATATAGGAATGACAAGAAGTATATTTCGGAGAGTAAACGCTAATCCCACTGAGTTGCTCATCTAGGTATAAATTACATTTGCGATTTTTTAAGATTACAAACAATTTTGTCAATTTTGTCGTTAACGCAGTTAAATTATTGATTTCAGTATGGATGTCGTGCCTCCGGTAATTGAAACGAACGAATGGCTAGTGTCTTTTATTCGAACTTTATTCTCTGTACTATATGAGGTTTATAGCAGTTCAGCTGGACCCGCTGTAAAATGCAAATGCCTCCGAGCTCTTCTTCGTATGGTGTATTATGCTTCAACTGACTTACTTAAGGTAAGATATATATTAAGTGATAGTATATTTTCTTGTTTGTGACTAATATACTTTAGTATACTTTAATATACTTTAATATACTAATATTTTCTTTTACACATAGGATGTTCTAAAGAATCAAGTGGTTTCGTCACATATAGCTGGTATGTTAGCGTCGCAAGATTTACGTATAGTTATCGGAGCTCTTCAAATGGCGAGTATCTTGATGAAGAGATTGCCACAAGTATTTGGGGTTCATTTTCATCGCGAGGGCGTACTGCATCAAGTTCGTCAATTAGCAGATCCCGAAGTACCTCTCGGTGTTTCACCACCTAAGTGCCCTTCTGGCAAGTTGCTCTATTCTTAATGTGTTTTACTATTCTATTGCCACACACATATATATGCGATATACATATGTCTGGATCATATGATATTTTATTGTATTTAGGTACATCATTACCAAGCCCACAGCCAGGTCCGTCTAATACACCACTTTCTTCCACCACAATGTTGTCTTCTAGTAGTGCCACATCTCCAGTTGTCTCTCCATCTTCGAATGGCAACATATTGTTTGGCACAATCGCGTCGTCGTGCCAGTATAAACCAAATATCAATGCTTCGCTGGAACCACACAGAACGGAATTAAACAACAGCGTAGAGGAAACAAGCGCACCACAAAGTGCTCATTTGTTAGTACGAGATATCTTTCCTGATATATTTACAATTTTTTAAATAATCATTTATGGTATCGTATTTATAAATCGTGTTTTTCTATTTATTAGAAGGATTGGTGATGTACTGAAGAAAAAACGACAGAATAAGAAGGGTCGTTTCTCGAGATTGGGGGGCACCACCACACCGCAACAAACACAACAGCCGGAATCCCTGTTTACTGGTTTTACCCCAAAGAATAATCGATTTTTGGGAAATCTCAATCCGGCCAAATGGGGTCGCAAATCGTCCTCGTCCAGTACTAGCAACGACAAGAGAGACTCGAGCTCGTCCACGAATCTATCAAAACCACCGAGTAATCCGAGCTTAACCGGTGGAAATCGGGATAAGGCAAAAGCGTGGGTGCGCGAACAAGCAGCCCAATTTTTGGCAAGATATCAGGATGATGCACCTTGCTCGCATCCCGCCCTAACAGTTCTTGCTCGACTAACTGCTGCGATACAGCGATTGCAATCAAACGTAAGTGCATTAAGTAAACAATTTATTATAAATAAGATTGCTAAACATTGGATGTTTTATTAATATTTATGCTATATTTTTAAATAGTTTTGTGTATAAATAGGATAATAAAAAAGTTTGACCATAAAGTGTTTATCATATTATTAGTATATTTACGAAAGAATAAACTCTAGACAGAGAGAGAGAAAGAGAGAGAGAGAGAGAGAGAGAGTGTGTGTGTTAATTTTTATTAAATATCAAATAATAATTAATGTTCAAAATGGTCATACATATTAAAATTATTTAAATCTGCAGATTTTCACAATTCGCACTTACGTTTACAGGAATTAGACGAAATGCTATCAGCACTAACGGAATTACGGGACATAGTTCTCGAGAGCGATATATCGCCATTTGAAATGAATTACAGCGGCCTTATCAAGGCTCTATTGAACTACCTCACTACCACGGATGCACCGGGTAATCGTTATGATCGTCTTCGTATGTTTTGGAAATTGTTTGCGGAGTCTACCGTAAGTAAAATCGATCTTTCTGCCCTTCTCCATTTCAAATTGAATATGTAAGTAATCCTTGTCACACAATTTATTTAGATGCAACAGAACAACGATATTATGGATCTTAATCCTGGGGCGTTTGGTGCTTTAGTAACGAAATTGAACAGTTGTGTTGCACAGCTAGAACAATTCCCGGTGAAAGTTCACGATTTACCTGCGGGTTCTGGCGCTGGCCGTGGCGGTACCAGTGCTCTGAAATTCTTCAATACACATCAACTTAAGGTAACTATCTAAAATATTAGGTGTTGGAATTAATTCGTAGCGTTTTACAAGTGATGGGAAGTACTTTCATTAATGTATTTTTTAATGCTCATGTGAAATAAATAACATTCTTTCATTAAAAACGCTACGAATTAATTCCAACACCTAATATGTAAAATTTAATTATCACGAAAAAAGACAACTTTATGCAAACGCCGAAATATACACGCAAACGTTTTATTGAATTATGCAGTGTAATCTTCAACGGCATCCGGACTGTAATAATTTGAAGCAGTGGAAGGGCGGTACTGTAAAAATAGATCCGCTTGCATTAGTACAGGCGATTGAGCGTTATTTGATGGTACGTGGATACGGCAGAATACGGGACGCTGACTCGATGGTCAGTGATGACGACAATAGCGAGGATGACATTGATGATACTCTGGTATATACCTTTCCAATGGAGTATCTATTTTTAGATTAGAGAAAACCGATAAAATCGGTACGAGCGATTATATTTGCCGCTTTTCTTTCCAGGCAGCAGTTGTGATAAGCCAAGGACCGCCGAAACACAAACTTCAGTTTTTAATTGGCGACGTAGTCCTACCTTTCAATATGACGGTTTATCAAGCTGTCAGGCAATTTGGATGTTCCGGAGTGGATCACTCTGAGGCAGAGGCCGATAGTGAACCGCCACTTGGACACGATGCGGTATGGGTGCAAACCCATACGATATACTACAGGTATTTTCAAACATTCAGACATTTATTTTAGAAATTTTAAAGTATACTTAGAACTCATTTTGTAAAAATGCTATGTCGACAATTAATGATATCACTGTCATTAAAAGTTAGTGCTGATATTATTTTTTTAAGAAACTTATAAGAACCATAACTTATAAGATATCGACTTTTATACTAATTCGAAAAGAAATATTTTATTTTTTCTGAACGCAGACCTGTACCAGAAGAAGATGCCGCAACCTCTCCAAAATCAGGGTCGAGTTCACAGGGTAATAGCAGGAAGGGCAAGGGAAAAAGTACAAAGATTAGTTCAAAGAGAAAAGAAGATAGTCTCTGGCTAGAAGGCACGGTTCCTCTTCAACATTGTCCTCTCGCGCCATATCTATCTCCCACATTACCACCCTCGGTAACTATCACGGACGCCTCTCTCGATGGGTTGTGTCTTTTGCGGCTCTTGCACGCTCTTAATCGCCATTGGGGCATACTGTTCCCTCATCTAAAAAGCATGAGCCTGCTATCACCTCAGGACTTTATTAATAATAAGATCGCAGCGAAAGCCAGCAGGCAACTGCAGGATCCACTGGTGATCATGACTGGAAATTTGCCATCTTGGTTACAACAGATAGCGTCTGTCTGGTTAGTAGAGCGAATAACTCGATCGTTGATTTAATTTTATTGATTTTAGTATAAAATTCAAAAATTTATTTGCAATAATTAATTTCAATTTCCAGTCCTTTTCTCTTTCCATTTGAGACGAGGCAGCTTTTGTTGTATGCAACATCGTTTGATCGAGATAGAGCACTACAACGTCTCTTGGATTCCGCGCCAGAACTTTCAGGATCAGACAGTCAGGAGCGCGTTACGCCACGCTTAGAACGAAGGAAGAGAACTATCTCGAGAACGGACATTCTTAAGCAAGCAGAGCTAGTGATTCAAGACTTAGCCTCTAATAAGGCCTTACTTGAAGTGCAATATGTCAACGAGGTTAGTTAATTTTTGTGCATACGTCCTCCTTGGACTGTCAATCTTATTGCAAGTCTCTAACGTGTGTGTGTGTGTGTGTGTGTATAATATTTTTATTACAGGTCGGTACTGGTCTCGGTCCAACTCTGGAATTCTACGCTCTAGTCTCTAAGGAACTGCAACGCGCTGATTTAGATTTGTGGCATGGCAGTTCGAATCCTACTGAAAACGGATATGTTAATTCCTCACACGGACTCTTCCCGACGCCAATCCCATGGAACACTAAAGTATCGCATCTAGCAAAATTGAAGACCAAGTTCAAATTCCTTGGGAAATTCATGGCGAAAGCAATATACGATTCCAGAATGGTAAAAATTAGCATATCTTATTTCATAAAATCTTTTCAAATCTCTCTTTGATTACATTCTTAACATATTGAATTGTCTCTTTTAGTTGGATTTGCCATTTAGTTTAACCTTCTATCGTTGGTTACTGGGAGAGGAACATACTCTTACATTAGCCGACTTGGCATACGTATGTCCCGACGTATATCGCACTCTTAGCAAGCTCCAGGAGGTCGTGAGGAAGAAAGAAGCTATGGAGAAGGATCAGACACTACGACCGCACGAGAAAGCGCAATTAATTGAGGCTCTCGATTTAGACACGTGCCCCATTTCCGAACTAGGTCTTGTGTTCGAATTACCGGGCTATGAGAATATCGAATTAAGGAAGGGCGGTAGCGAAATATCCGTTACTATTTACAATCTGGATCAATATATTAAGGTAAATGCATCTCTCGTTCTCACTCACTCTCGATATTCTCCTTCGCCGATGTTGTTTGAAGAATCACAATGATCAATCCCTGTAAAATTTTAGTTAGTGGTACACTGGTTCTTGTACGAAGGAGTATTCAGACAAATGGAGGCTTTCCGGGAAGGTTTCGAGTCGGTATTTCCTCCGTTGCAACTGAGACTATTCTTCCCAGAAGAACTGGAGGCGGTATTTTGCGGTCACGCACAAACCGGCGGACAATGGGACGTGAAAACTCTTGCCGAGTGCTGTAGGACCGATCATGGTTATACACCGGACTCACGGGCCATTCGTTTTCTATTCGAAGTCATGTCCAAATACAACAGCGAGGAACAACGACAGTTCATTCAGTTTGTCACCGGTTCACCGCGTTTGCCCGTTGGAGGTAGATACTTTGTCATTCTCATTTTTCATTTGTGTTCTCATAAATTAGAGAGATTAGCGGTAAAGTGCATGCTTATATTTTTCAGGTTTCAAAAGCTTAACCCCTCCGTTAACAATAGTGCGCAAAACCTTTGATCCGTCTATGAAGACAGACGATTTTCTACCATCAGTAATGACTTGCGTTAACTACCTAAAACTGCCTGATTATACCACTTTGGAAATAATGCGGGAAAAGTTGCGGATAGCCGCGCAAGAGGGTCAACACTCGTTCCATCTCTCCTAGAAACGGATGGAAAATCGGCACCTCATTTTCTCCTTTACTCTTACATTATCCAGACCGCGAATTATCCGAACTTCGTTTAAGATCTACGTGAAAATTTACGTATGTTGTCAGTGAGCAAATTCAACGTCGCGATGATTTTTATCCTTTATGTGAGTTCTTTTGAGGACTTTTTATTTCTTGAAACAAAAAATTCGTCGGAGCGACAGTTCTTTCTTTTGATGTTTATATCTTTGCAATTTGGATTGTGATATACTTTGATCAGAAAGAAAAGTGCAAAGCTGCATAATTAACCGTACCGTGCGAGTTTACGCTCTCGCGAATGCTACAAACCGAGTGGCTTGCAAACGACCTCGTTTTAGGAAAAAGAAACTTATCTTCAGTACGTTACAATAAAAAAAAAAAGGAAGATTGTAAATATAGTTTAATATACACAAGTCGATATAAATACTTTATATAATAGTAACGAGAAAAATGATATTGCTATGGAAAATACTATACTAACTGAACATAAAATAGCCCGAGCGAGAAAGAAAGAGAGAAAGGAGCACGTTTACTAGATATAAGTAAATTTTATATCAGTGGTGCATTAAAAAGCATCGCCATACGTCGCCAATCCTCCGCGATCGCGGAAGACATGAAAATTTACATGCTAAAATCAGCAACGAGACGCGCACGCCCGTGATCTTGTCGGAAACAACGCTATTTCCGGATACAGACACATATACACAATATCGTGTCTCTCGCTGCTATTCTCTATTTTGTAATCGATCTCTTCGTGTTCGTCGCTTTTAAGTTTCAACGATCGAGAACGCAATGCGTGAGTCACACGTTACGCCACACACTTCTACATTTAAGTTCAATCAATGTGTAACGCTCATCAACATTTATTTGATATTTCTATTCTAAGTAAATTAGCCCGACCGTTTATTTTATTTAGCAGTATAAGAATGCAACCGGAATCGCCAAGGAATCACCATCGTGACACGCGCGTGAATCGAAGGGAAATTCCGATATCCATTTACTTACAAGCAAATCGTCATATTTAGAGGGAAAAAAGAAAAAAAGAATTGTAAGAGAATTGTATGATACAAAATAGAATGGATATATAAAGTAAGTGAAGCTGGTGTATCAAATGGATAATACAAGGTACATTACTTTCTTATGTCATTGCAGAAACCGTGGAATCTATATAAGAACTGTACGAGAGAGTGTGTGTGAGACAAGTTAATCTATACTTTTGTTCGATTCAAATTTTATGTACATCGCACACACGAGCGGGCGCTTTCTCTAATTTGTTGTATCCTCCAGAACTCGCGGATTTAAAAGTCACATACCTTCATTAGCGGAAGTTGTAATTTATGTTGTCATTGTTACTATAAAATATTTTTTTCTTTTTTTTTTGAGATATACTGTACTGCTGACGTCAGTGTACCTTACATTACCACGATTATACGTTTATTAAGCGTGTGAACATATTTGCAATTTTTTAAAAATATTTTTCACTTTGTGTGAGGACGAATCGCGAATGATAGCGCAAGGAAATCAATATAGGCAAAGGAGATCAAGAAACTTGGATATGCACTGTCGTAAAATGTGTAACCGTTCAGGATACGCGAAAAACCCATGTCATTAATATTATAAACAAAAGATATATTTATATCGATTCAGTAGTATATAAACGAATTTTACTTTATTCATATCGGAAGATCTTTTTTTATTTTCTTTTTTTCTTCAAAACCTTCAATAAACGCATAGGTATAAATTGCCAAAGGAATGTACGTCTTAAACACATTGGATGAGACAAAAACATTGGAAATTGAACAAGAGACATGCTGTTATTTTCTAAGGAAATATTCAAAGTCCATTGAATAATCGTAAAATAATATTTTTTATTTATTTTTATCTCTATTATCTTCTGAAAATAAAATCAATCCATAATTGCGATTACACCCAATAATATTCATGTTAAAAAGTTGATTTATTTTTATTTTTTTTTAAATCTTTCTGTAAATTATTTTAACCATCCATAATGTTACCATTATTTTCATTTTTTTTTATACTGCGCATTGTGTTGCTTATGCCTTAATTGCTTCCTTGTATGAAAACACCTAATTCTACAGCGATATTTACAAGAACATACTGCACCACGCCAGTATAAAACAAAATCCCCCGATCGGTGTTGTTGAACTGAATCGTCTGTTATTGGTAAATGCAGTATAATAACAGCTTCCGCAGAATAGTATGATTCCAGAGAACATGAAAGTCGCAGCCTACAACACAAGTGCATGTGAAATTATACAAACTCCATGACACAATTATTGCGGATTAATGACGACGTTCTACTTACCAAGGCTGGGAACTTGCATAACGGTAATCCCAGCAAGGCCAAAGTGTGTATAAAATGATATCGATTCGCTGTTTCGAAGATCCGACGTTGTTCCTGTCCTATCTCATCTTTCGAGTAATGTCCTGCAGAGCATTCAATTGAGTCGAGTCTCGTGTTTATACAGGTTTAAAATAATACATGTCATTTTTTTTGTAATTCACTTACGGTGGGATCCAAGGGCGCCAAGGATCACAGCTGTTGCACCGCTGAGAGCTGCAAGCCTCACATATGGGCCGCTGGCAGCAGCTAATTTCCATAAAGGTACTGGCGCTGCCATTTTCACCTCAATTTTCTGCTTTCCGCCTAAATACTTTGTCGCCTGACAGACCATAATTGTTTCATATTATTTTTCATAAAACTTTAAATGTTAATATTTATATAAATATAAATTATGCTTTATATAAATAGTATTAAGTTCTCTTATGTTCATAACTACTAGTCGTCTAGCAAATAAACAATTATTGCTGATAACTATAGGCTGTTATTAAGTTTTTATCAATTCTTTAATTATCTTTAATTAGTTTTCTGATAGAAGCACTATCATTACTAATACTTGATAGCTATTTTAAAATAAATGTTTACGATTGGTTACATAAATGTTTGTTAAAAAACCGCACATGACATTGCATATTGCAAACATAAAATGTAAAAAAAAATTCATTATTCGTCAATGCTCGCATTGAAAAGACAATAATGAATTAATTAAACAGTTAATTGCGCAATTATCTAGATATTACAACTGCGACAAAAACGTGTTAATTTTTTATTGTAATCTTCATCGTTCGTAAAAAAAATGATAAGAACTGTCAAATGTGTATGTGTGTGTGTGTGTGTGTAAAAAGAGGAAAAGAAAAAATTTCTTATATTCATTTTTAATTTCTATTAATGTAGATAAACTTTAATCTTTGTTTAATACATTTTTTATTCTTATCTAATTTCAAGACTCAAAAATAAATTAATTAAATTGAAAAGAAATTAAATTACGTTGGTATAATGGACATTAGAGCAATTATTTTCATTAAGCTCCAAACTTAATAATGAATCAACTAGCAAAATTATTTATAGCGTAACTTCTAATAATGTATTGTGTTTAATTTAATCTTTTTCTCACATGTGAATAATAAAAAAATTAATAATTCTATCCATATTATTAAAACAGTTTAAGTATTGTTGATATATTCGACAAGTTAATCATTGATTAAGTTTCATAGTGTAAATACAAACAAATATGTATGTAGTATGTTTAAGAAAACACATGGAGGAGACATCACCTAGGAGAGGTAGGTAGTTAACAGCAGACATGAGGCAGTAAGCTTGGCGTGGGATCTCTGTCGTTTTCGCAAGACTATGAGACTAGACATGCTACATTGCCATAAGCTTACCGACGTGGCTGCATCCCAAGCATACGAGGCGGCCCCCGCACTCGTTTTGTGAATAACATTAAACGGCATAGTGACTGCCGTATACATAACGTCTTGGAAGCCCATCCTGAGCCGCGTATCACTGAAGGGGACGAGCCGAGTGTCAATTTACGTTCGTACATACATACATATATCGGACGGTGGTCCGGTGCGGCCGCATTCGTGACGACACTCGACGACACACGCGATTCCCATTCCTCTTATCTGTTATTAAGGTTGTCACCTTTTCTGTGAGCGTCAAGCAGCCGAGTCATGCAATTAATCACGAGAGATACTTCTAACTTGAGCGATAAATGCAACTGCACCGTCAAACGCAAACGCACCGGATACCATCGAGCTATTCGATTGCACTTACCACTTATTACTGCTAATGACTGCTACTCGATTTCCAAGTTCCAAACTTCCAACTTGCAATCTATGCGCGAATTACCGCCATTACCGGCAACAACAAATTGGCAAACTGCAACAAATCGACGAGAAATGCGCCATCTTGGATAATCGAACACGAATTCGTACGTCATCTGTTCTTTGCAGATGTGTCGATTTACACTTTCTGCTTACTTGAAATGTGAAAGGAACACAACTGTGCGTTGGAGGAAAAAAGATGAAGGACGGAAAATATAGGAAGTGCAATTATAAGGAACACTTCTCGTTTGAATAATAATTATAATTTACAGTTGATCTTGTATCGTCTCTTTCTTTTTTTTGTTCCTTCCGAGTAATCATTTTTTATCAAAGATTTGATTAGAAACATATTTAATATGAAAGGAACAATAAAAACTGCCATAAGAGTCCAAAAATAAACATAAAACTCTGATACTAAATATTCCAAACATATCACTAATTTATATAATATTAAAGAAAGAAAATGTATATTTACACTGTTTTGTAATGTTGGGAATCTAGAATAATCTTCAACTCGTTATTTTCACAAATTTCATACTTAATGTTTGAATCTTTATCTATTAATATAATTTATCATTAATTTTTAAACCACAATATAATTTTACATAAAAATATGATAGAAAAATATCAATTGTCACAAAAAATTGTTCTTGTACTAATGTATGTACAAATCATACGTACTTATATAATGAATATTGCCAAAAATAGATTATATACATAATATATTATATACTCAGGTAGCATGATGACATTATCGTCATATTGATATCAACAAAATCTTTTGATATCAAGTAAATAATCAAATAAGTGGAAGTTCAAGGCAAACTCAAATTCCAAGACCCTTCACTTATGGACATATTAATGACGATAAATGCCAAATAACGTGTTGTTACCTGAATATGTAATTATATAATACATAAAATAATATTAAACATTGCTAGTTTGCGATATTGTTCGATTTTCCAGTTGCATGTAAAACTGTTCTCCAAACCACTCTCTATGCATTTCCAAGTAACTGTAAACATATTGCATAATTAATGTATTTTTATCATGAGATTGTAACATTTAATTATAAAAGGTACTCCCCACTGTAACTAATACATACCTTAAAAACATATCTAAATATTTTAAAAGCACTTTCAATTTTTTGCTGGATATATCTGTTGATTGTAATAATTCAGGTAATTTAACTGAAATTTAAAAAATTCACATTATTTTTTATCATGCAAAGATTTTACAATTTTGTATGTTTCCATAAAATAAAAGATAACTTACCAAATAATCTAGTTAAATGAATGGCACCGTAATAAGTGGAGGGACTTGGAATTTCGATTTGTCTTAAAACTTGAGGCATTAACCTCCATTTATTCGACTGTTGAAGTAAACTGTTTACTTGAGCGGATGTAACAACAGGCGGCATTCTTAGCGTTACACCTCGCGGGCTAGAACAACGGGAACTTGTACTTGCTATGCTACTAAAACAAAACAATCATAAAAATATTATATCTAATTTTAAATAAAAGAAAAATTCAGAGAAAGCAATAATTCTTGTTACATCATGCAATTACAATTTTGATAAAAGAAAAGAGATATACTCCCAAAGATAAGAGTTGTTAAAAATAAACTAATAACTTATATAAAATTTCGGTAACAAGAAGTTTGAAGCAATTCGATTATTACCTTGATAAATTGCCACCGTCCTGCTTTCCTTCGTCGTAAGACCTTAATTGCCGGCTTTCATCTGCAGAACTTACACGACACGATCGCAATCTTCGTTTAGAATTGTTTAAAGGTTTACATGAATTATCCATTTCTGAATCATGTTCTTGAAAAGGAGGTAAATGAGCATATTCTGCATCCTCAATTTCTTCTTTTGTCGATATTTCTAAATTCCTTTATAACACAGACATTTATTTTATTAATATAAAACGGTAAACCTTAATAGAACTCTTAATTTTATTATTATTGATAAAAAATGTATTTACTCAATTAATTCTTCCTTTGGGATAATGGTTTGTTCATTGTTTGATAAGGAAGATTTCAGAGAATCATATTGTTCCTTTTCTTGCCTGTACAAGAGGAGATGAAGTAATGTGAAATCGAAATATATGCGTAAGCCATCCGCGACTTCTCTGCTTATATTCACTTCATTCACTGCTTTTTCTATTGTATTATTCGTTTTATTACGCTGGGGTTTTTCTGGAATATTCGTTAACTGCGTCGTAGTAAAGTGCTGTACCCAGGATTCCAGAATATTTATTACAGTAGGTTGTGCAGGAAGTACAACAAGCTGAAATAAATATCGATAATATTTGCGTGATAAGTTAGATAATTTAAATTAAAAGATTAGATAATAGAAATTATGATCTGTATAAATTTAGATAAAAAAATAAGATAAAACGATTATAATAGATTTTAAAATATATTTTGCATTGTAACACATTATAATCTGTACATCTACTATTAATCTAGAAATTATTTTCTAACTTACCTTATTTTTATTAGTTATCAGGTCATAATCTTGTTCTAAAATCCGTTTTAATGTGCTGCCTATATCAAGATCAACTCCTGGTTTTATACTAGCTCCAGACTGGCTGCCACCGCCACTGTCTTCATCATCACTTGTTTCGCCCATATAATCAGAACTACTTTCTGTATCTTCTTCTGTGTTTACTTCCTGTAAATTATATATACGATATAATTCCCATGGATCTTGCTTTGTTACTTTTGCAGTCCTCGATTATCAATGTAGTATGAAGTTTAAATCTTTTGTATAGCGTGACAACATTAATGATGTCATCTCATGACATGATACCTAATAAACTTTTTTTTACCAATATTAGCGTAGATTTTTTAATTTCTTCTGAGTTAATTTCTTCTTCTATTATTACAGTATAAAATTTCTTAAGTACATATCTCATTGACTTTTTTTCATATTTGAAAAGGAAATTGAAAAGGAGATACCTCTGTATCATAATCAGCATGTTGACCTGAACTACCATCCTCAGAAGATCCAGTCGTAGCTGATGTAGCTCGACTACCACCGCTTCGTGCTCTACGACGAGGCTCTTGATGCTCTGTTTCAGTTAGACGTTCTGACATTTTGTGACTTCTCTTTTTACGTTCTCGGCGATATAAATAAGCACCGCTACTTCATTAAAAAATATATGTTAATTCTTAATTAATCAAATTAAATTTGTTTTGTAATAGTTTTTTTAGGAATACATACATGTGAAGTTGTGCTTTATTTGCTAGATCTCGTTGAAGTTGACGATTCTCTTCTGTATCTTTAAGCACATATTCCTCTGTCACACAACGATCCCAAGATGAATTCCAACCCTTATATAATAATGAATTATATTTATGTTTCTTTAAAATGCTTTAACACAATTCATACAATTAATTAATTTCAATCAAACTTTTTTAACTCACTTGGAAATGTATAAGGTATTCCACTGCTTTTCTACCCCTTTGATCTTTATTTACAATAACATCAAGCACCTGCAAATGATTTTATAATTCACTATAAAATATTAAAATAATTATTTTTTTTCATAATTGTTCTATGAACTTTTATACAATAATAAGATATACTTATATCTATCTATACAATTTATTTCTACATTTTATAAGGCTAAGTCTACAATGTGCTTTTTGTTTTCTGTTTCTTGCTGTTTTCTCTTGTCTTATTGATCAAAAAGGTAAGAGACAAACAGCAAGAAACAAAGAGCACATTGTAGAATTAGCCTAAATCTCTGATGCAATTTTATAACCTTAAGTTACCTCTACTTTTGCAATATATACTTCTTTCTTTGTAAAAGGTATCAATGTTTTTCATTAAGGCATTCAATTTGCATGTTACATTTATATTTACATATGTACAACAATACTTCCGTTAAACATGCAAATTGAATGCTAAGTATATGTATAGTATATATGTCTAGCAATACATTGGTAGTCACCTTCGAGTCATACAATACTTTTGCCTTCGTGGGATCTGGTTCATAGCACAACACTTTTTCTCCATCAGAAAATTTGAATTTTGGCCCTCGCGTTGACACCATCGTAAATTTTTAGTGAAATGTAAAGTGTAGGTATTTAAAATACATAAATTACCAGCATAACCTATACAGCGATTGGCCAGAAATAAACATTTGTGTATTTGATAGTAATATTGATTTTTTTAAGTAATGTTACTTTAATCTTCACAAACTGTTCCGTTCGCAAACTTAATTAGTTTGTTTAATTCACTGTCACTTCTAAAACCGTGTTTCCGGCACGATTAGCGTTGCGTATCTTTTCTTCTCCGTCTGAAGTTAGCTGTTTTAGACTTCAGGAACGCCATAGGTAATTGTCATAAGCCTGTATCACACCTACGCATTCGAGATCGAGGAATGCGAACTGAGAATTTAGAATTCAACCAATCAGTTAACCGTAATCTTCATCCGTTTTGCTTTGATTAAAAGAATGTATTATATGTATTTTTTTTAACAAAGTGAATAAAATATGAAAAAATTATAGATTTTTTCTATATATTATATGTATTATATATACTATATATTTTAAATCCAAAAAGTTTGGCAGCGATTCAGAACTCGGATAAAAAATTATTTAATTTTATTATAATAAAAAGTAGACATGTTTAAAAAAAATAAGATAGAATGAAAAAATTTTAATTTAAACTATAAAATGTAATATATTGTATTAGGTGTTGGAATTAATTCGTAGCGTTTTTAATGAAAGAATGTTATTTATTTCACATGAGCATTAAAAAATACATTAATGAAAGTACTTCCCATCACTTGTAAAACGCTACGAATTAATTCCAACACCTAATATTAAATATAAATATTGACCTTAATGAACTGTTCACATATATTACAGTCAAAGTGTTAACTCAGTAAATATATACATTTGTTGCAGTCAACAATATGGTATCTACACGCTATCTATACGCTAGGTACATTTACTCTACATGTAAATTGACTAGTAATGTACATTTATTAAAATTAACACTTTGACTGTGACTTTTCGGAAATAGAGAAAATAGAGAAAAAAAGGAAAAAAATAGAAATACAAAATTTTAATTCTTCTATTCTGAAGTGCTATTCTCTTTAAATTCTTCTGTATTTTTTATTATTTACATTACGAGTACATATGGCATTTTTCATTTATTTTTTCATTCGATCGCATGCACATTTTCACTTGCGTAAGATTTAAAAAAAAAAAGGACAAAAATGCTCACTAATTCTACAAAGATCGAGAAATTCGAATGTAATATAATAATCTAATATAAATCACAATAAAATAAAATAATTCTATAATAGCGGAACGGTAAAGCAGTGAAAGTATAATAAAACATTCATGTTTTATTATAACAGCATTAATCTTTCAGGATTTTATTTTTTATCACTACATAAATATATCATCATATATTAAAACTTAAATTATCTTTTAACTCTAAAATTGTAATTTGTAACATATTTGTTTAAATAATTTCCATCTATACATTTACATATATATATATATATATATATATATATCCTTTCCTTTATATTTTCTATTAAATAAATATACATATAGTATATATATATTTGATCCATTCATCTGTCATTATATTTCTCTGGTTAACACTAATGCCTCATAAGTTTTCGCTATAGAAACATTTCATAAACGTTTAAAAATAAAAAGGAAACACAATGTTTTTAATTAGATACCCAGTTATACCCAGATAGCCAAGGTTGCAGAAGCAGATTTTGAACAGAGGACGTTATCAATTTCTGTTGACAAAAGACAACAATTTCACAAAGAATCTGTAATATGATGTCTGCAAACTACTACCAGAAATAAGACAAAGCTTGCTGACATGCTTTGTCACCAATCTTTTGCCAGAGATGTCAGTAAACTCTGTTAACTGATCCTAAGCTTGCAAAGTGTTATTTGTTGCCAATGTGCCATCAAACTGCTAGCATCTTGCCATCTGAGATATGTTTTCTTCGTAAAATATGCTCGAAACCTTAATTGAAATAGCTTTGGTGTAGCGAACGAAGAATAAAAGAATCGACACTGTAATATTTATCGTCAGGCAATAATATAGCAATACTAAAACTAAAATCAAATCACGGAGCGATGAAGATGAATCGATTGTATGAACTGATAGAAATGATTGCAGATCTATTGAATTAAGCCAGTTCGTTCGACAATAGCTATTTCAAGATATTAACAATATTCAGATTTGAGCATATTTTAGCATATGTAACATATATTGTTCATATTACATATAATTTATGTTCATCTAATCACAGAAAGCTAGTTTTGATTGTGCCACATCAATTCAATATACGTAATAAACGTAAAAATATACTTATCAAGCATGATTGGCACAATTACGGACAGTATCGGAACTAATTGGGAGCACAATAAAATAATTTTCAATTAATATGTAAAAAAGAATTCATTCTTAATATTACTTCTCAATTAGCGTCAATAATAGATGTTTCCATATAATGGCAAGGCAAATTAGATATTAATTTTGATAGCCTGACCATATTTTTATCAATTATATTACACCACAGAATTGTACCACTAATACGAACATGATAGACACAATTCCATTTCGTTTTGAAGTTTAGCATTATGGATATAATATAAGTACTACAATCACGGTTGCAATAGCTAAATAATTTTTGCCGTATTACACGATTCACGAATGACAAGCGGTTTCTTACAAATGTATAATAGTAAGTTTTTGTAAGTTTTGGCAAGATTTTGCACACAATTGTTTTGTACGAAATATGCGGGTACTTTTATATACATTTATACGGTAGGAAAATTTTGAGATTTTTATTTAAATGCGATAGCCAACACTAATGGACTCGAGATACATATCGAATCACTTGTAATATAGCTCAAATTATTTCTCGTACAAAAACCAAAAGGTTCTTGAAAGTTACGAACATGAAAATATATTTTTTTCTTTTATAAAATACTTTATATTATTACTTCCATCCACTCTTATTTTATATATAGATAACAATTTTATTTTTAAGAATTGTTCAACATGTTTTAGATATTTTTTAAATCTTCCAGATATATAAAACTTTCAGGAATTTTCAAGACTTTTTGAGAATTCGGTTTTAAAAATAATTTGAACCTTTACACGTGATTGAAAGTAATATTCAACTACACGATTGTTAAAAATTTTCAAGAAACAGACTGTTTATTCAACATTATTCAACATTTTCCGCTTGAAGTTTTTAGGTACTCGCGTATATCTCAGTGATAATAAAAATAATGATAATCGTATAAAATATAAATACAAATAACTTGATTAGAATATAATCTAGAGATAATGACTAATCTTTTATTTTACTATCGCTAAACGAATATGATATATCCGACATAAAAAGAAGAAAGCATAATGCTAAACTCCTAAGTAGAACCGTTTTACTCAACAACATTAACGACACTATGTGTACGTAACATACAATTATGTTAATAGGATATTTTTCTTTATACATAGCAAATATAAACATAATAAAATCATCATTTAATAAAAAGGATGCCTTTCATTGAAACAAAGATTACTTATAGAATTAACATTTTTATAACAATTTTACATAAAAGAACAAATGCATATCTACAAACGAGATTCGTTTCTATTGTATAGGATTTTAAATGCAATTACAACGTGATTACAAATAGAAACTATTGAGATCTGCATATTATAAATAAAAATATCTCGTTTAAATAGAATATATTACATAAAAAATATTATTTGGTTCTCTTGGTCTGTATTGTGTATATCTAATCGAAAACAATAAACAGGTGTTTTTAAAAAATGGAGGAAATTTTGCAATAAATGCTGCTATGTATAACACAAGATCTTCATGATACAACTGTCTTTGGTTAATCCTTTTTTAGACGAAAATATCTTATATTTTTAGCAATGCTGTAGTTTAATATAAACTATTGCATCTGACAGAAATTTGACTATCTAATGTGGAATGCACGAAAATAGTTAAAATTATGATAGATCTACCCAACTGATTACTCTTAGGCCAGAGTTAATCACAGTGTATAACATACTACAATTTTATTTCAATATTCATAACGTGCATTATAGTTTGTATATATAAATAAATGAATTCTTAATATGAAATGCATAAAGGACGAATTCTTAATATGAAATGCATAAAGGATTAAATATGTTAAAGAAGACTCTCTTTTTCGAATATATCAAAATTCACCATCTTTATTTTTAATAAAAAATAAAATAAAATACAAAATAAAATGAGAAAAAATACTATCTCATCTCTGGCCACGTTAATTTTCAATTAGACAGTCCTATCACAGTTATGATATAACCCCTTATATGCCTAAAAATTACAAAATAATTCGTCACAGTTTAACAAATAATTATAATTATATATATTCGATACTGATTGCATTGTCATCTGTGTATAACATCATATAAAATATTAGAAAAGATGTTCAAAGGAATCTTTCCTAGTATTTTTTTTAAATCGGTAAAATCATCCCTGCAGTGGTTTTGCCATTAAATACATTTTTAACTTAAAAAAATTAATTGTATTTAAAAACTTAATTTAGCATACCCCTATTTTCCAACGAATCTCTTAGTGTTTGGAAAAGTTGCAATTGTTGCTCTGGCTTCAAGCTATAAACCTAAATTGAAAGATATATATGTTTTAAAGAATTATACTTACTTATTTCTTGTCGTATTATAATTTATAATACAAAGAAAAAATTAATATTACTAAAACTTATACTAAGTAAACAATTTTATTTATTTAATTTACCTGCTGTAACAGCTTTTGAGGCGATGCAGTATGGATAAATGAAGAAATATAGACATTCACGAATGTTGCCATTAAATATTGACAATCAAATCTATCCATTATTCCACCATGACCAGGAATTATATCACCGAAGTCCTGCAAAAAAAGTAGAAGAAAACGATAATTTTTTAATATATTAGATGTTGGAATTAATTCGTAGCGTTTTACAAGTGATGGGAAGTACTTTCATTAATGTATTTTTTAATGCTCATGTGAAATAAATAACATTCTTTCATTAAAAAACGCTACGAATTAATTCCAACACCTAATACTAATTTACAAGCCAATTAACGTAATGCTCAATTACCTTAATCTTAAACGCTCGTTTGAATCCGCTAGCAAAGAATCCTCCAAACGGACCAATTACAGAACTGAATATTGACAGCGATAGCGAATGTAAAATAAATGGATATATCGTCAAGGTAGATTTTCCATTTAACTGCACATATTAAAAAATCATTGAGCATTCATTCTTGTATGATTAAAACATTCCATATATAAGGGTTACCATTCTTGATATCACTTGAAGACTGCTTGGCAATGTATACTCTTGTGGTTGGAATAAACTTGACGGTTCGCAATCCATAGTCATTCTTCCTAGAGCTTCGCTGTACTCAATAGGACAAACGAAATAGCGGTACTGACACATGATGTAGGACATCTACAACAACAGTATTACATTAGCACATGATAATTATATTATTTTCATTTTTTTAATTACCAGTAATCCAAGTATGACAGTCGAAATACCACCACCAATAAAGCCCTCCCAAGTCTTCTTCGGGGACAATTTTATTAATGGTGTTCGTCCAAAAAAGAAACCAAACATATATGCCATTACATCGTTTATGACAATCATACTGACAGGTACGATGAACCTGAAGACAATCGACATAAATAATAGAATAAATAGATATTTAACTTATATATAGCATAGTAATAGTTTTGATAGATAATATATTGGGTTGACAAGAAAATAATTGCGTTTTTTTAAAAGATTTCTATCAATAAAAACCACAATTATTTTCTTACCAACCAATATAAATCTTGATATATATCTTGATAAAGTCAAATTCCAGCTTTAAGAATTTCTTTTTTAAATTGCGATACGACAATTTTTAACAGAGTTATGAGCAATTAAAGTTAAAATGATCCTTTTATTTAATCCGCGATAACTCAGTAACCAAAAATCGTAGGAATATTTTTAAAAAATGATTTTATAGGAAAAGCATTAAGTTTTCACGATAGGTAATCGAAAATTTTCTCAAATTTGTTTTGGGCACAAACCCACAAAATAAGAAGAAAATTTTCCGTCTTTTTCAGCTCGTAGTTTCTGATATGTAAAAATTACCAAACTCTAAACTTAAAAAATGTGGTAAAAGTAGAGATTTCAAGCTTTAAAACTTTTTTTAAAATTTATTATAAATTTCATTCATTATTGACGAAGATATATTGTATATACAACTTTGAGCTAAAAAAACGCAATTACTTCCTTGCCAATCCAATACATACCATATCAATCCTTCGAATATATTCTGGATGATAAGATAACTCTGTGTTACAACAATAAGTAACGCGACGTGCGTCCAAGCAAATAGGGAGAACTGCTTCATATAATATTTTTTCACGAGTGAGAGTACAAACCATACGAAGCCAACAATGTAAAGACAGAATGAGATAAATCGATGGTATGTAACGAGCACACGTAGATATCCCTAAGGACAATAAAAGTTGTAGTTATTACTTACATTACACACGTTACCTGTGTATAATGTTCGCACTAATTTAACATATTCTTAATATTGTTCTTATTATTTTCTCCATTCTCTATTGTATCTACATAAAATATCTTTAATAAAGAAGCCTCACACAGAATGATGAAGCCTTAACAAAAGTATTGAGATAAGGCTTGTCAAGGCTTATTGATTTAAACTAATGCTATTGATGATATATAGATGCATTTTAGAAATGGTCTTTTCTCTTTCTGAAAACATCACAATTAAGTAGAATAATAACAACAAAATTTTATACCACCATGTAACTTTTAGAAATTACACGACTCTTTGTGAGAATCAATATTTTTTAAAAATAAATTTCATGATTCTATGCGATTCGGATTGGAAGAGTAATACTTACTGTTCGATTAATCACCACCGCAAAGTAGTCCATTAAATTTTCTCCATAGAAAAAGTAATTCGAGGTTATCAAAAAATACCATGACAAAGATCTGAACCATGGTAAACCATGGATCCTATATACAGCATATCCGATATTAATGATTTCTTCAAAGCATTTCACTTGTACAATTAACGTCTATAAAAAGAAATAAACATATATATTAATCTTTTACACACACACATATATATATATGGAAACTTACTGTAATCATCAACGCCAATGGACCCCCATAAATAATGAGACAAAACCCAGCTATCATAAACCAAGTGAAAATAGTTCTAATTATCCAATTTCGCCAGCTAAGAAACCACAATGAAAAGTTCGAAAAATTCATATAAAATTACGATAAAATTATTGTATAAAGAATATTTAATATGAATATTTTACCGATCTGGAAGACCGGAGAGAACGGAACTTAAAATATGTGGGGTATGATCAGTTCCTTGAGGTAAAGCCTTTGCTAATTCCTCTACCTCCAATTTCGCATCATCTTCGGATTCAACATCTTCTTTCTGAGAAAAAAAAAAAAACTATTAGTATAAATTTACTGAATGTAAAAAACAATTTTTTATTTTATTAAAAATTTGATCAAAAAATACTTATTTAACCCTCTGTCTGCAATCATATTTTTATTTATTTCATTCAGTACAAAATTTTCTATTGATTTCAAAAGCTTCCAAAAAATATGGAAAAACTCAGGGTTATATTTTTCAATATCTCTATTACATTATTAAATAAAAAAAAATATAATAATATAATGAGTGGCAATTAGTTATGCAATACGGTCAGTGATAGGCAAATATTTAAATTTAAATTAATACATTACTAAAAAAATCATTTCGTCATCTTATATTGTGTAATATTGTGTAAATATAAATAGTATCAAACATACAATTTTTAGAGGAGAGGGGAGATTGGACTTCGTCCTCCTTTATTCCAAAGAAATTTGAGAGTAAAATTTCGCTTGTGCCAAAAAAATTCAGATTGGAAACGAAGAATAAAAAAAAGAATAGAAAAAAAACAGAATGAAAGAATAGGATATGATCGTGGAAATTAAATATTCGTAACAATTAAAATGCGTCGAGGACACGCGAGGCACATTTTATAATTAAAAAAACATTGGATAAATGTCACAATGTCGCGGGATCAGGCATGAAAGAGGGACAAAGGAATGTGATTGTGACAAGCAGACATGCAAAAGATTAAAGGTTTCTCTCATTTTCTTCATCCCTCAAGAGATGAGAGATCCTCTCCAATCTTGTGAGCCTCATAAGATTCAAAGCTCGACTTCGCTCTTTAACGGAGAAATCATCGCGTCGCGATTATCTCCCGCTTCGTTTAACCCATGACAACCCGGATCTCTCGCTTCTCGGCTGATCTACTCCAAAACAGTCCCCCCAATCCTCAACCCTCCTAAGAGAATTAATGAAAGTGCTATGTGTTATGTGCGAATGAATAAATATCACGCGTTTACGTACTTGGATTTATTTTTTTAGCTGAGCTCGCACAGTTCATTTCTTCTCATTTCTTTCGGCATTGAAGAAAAAAAAAGAAAAGATAAATCATATAAGAAGTTCTGCTATAATAAGATCCATTTCTATCACATAGATTAACTTTAATCGCGGTTTAATTTACTTCTCGTTTTTTTTTAATTATTAACACTAGAATAATGAATACAAAATATAAATTAAATCAAGATTCAAGTTAATCTACATTGATAGAAATTTAGAAGTAGACATAAAAAGAATAATTTCATGTTGTATGAGGTGTTTTTTATTTGGTGTCACAAGTCAATACAAGCATCATGTTCTGTCCATGATGTAAATCATAATTCTGTCCTTGTTATTGAAATGAAATGCTAAGAAAGATAAAAATGAGTTGACATTTGTGTCAACTTGTGTCACTTTTTATCAATGTTTTTTTTTACTAATGTAAATTAACTTTAATCTTGGTTTAATTTATTCCTTATCTTTCTCTAATTCTTAGAACTAGAAAAAGATAAAAAATAATTAATTAAACCATAATTAAAATTAATCTGTATTAATAAACAAACGCAACGTTCATTTCTACCAATGTAGATTAACTTTAATCTTGGTTTAATTTACTCTTTATCCTTCTCTAATTCTTAGAACTAGAAAGAGATAAAAAGCAATTAAAGTTGAACCGAGATTAAAGAGTTAATCTATATTGGTAGAGAATTAGAAGAAGGTAAAAAGTAATTGTTTAAATCGAGATTAAAGTTAATCTATATCGGTAGAGAAGGTATAAATGGAAAGCACTCATATCATATGACGCGTATACGTGAGGCATCGCGACGCACGGCGTCGAATAAGCGCGCGCGATGTATTGGTAGCTGTCAAATACGTCGCATCAACAAATAACTGTTCGTTATGCGCCAACGGCGCAGATCGATAGTCGTCGATAGCATAAACATTGACACGGAATACGGATGCATACCGGAAAATATCTTCCGGAAAGCGTGGCATAATAGAAAAGAAAGCGAGCGAGCGAGGGAGAAAGAAAGAGAGGAAGGAAAGAAATTTTCTGAGTTTTTTTTTTACCTGATCGTCGCTGACGTCTCGCGACGCCGCTGCCGACGATGTCGCGTCGCCGACGGTCGTTCTCTTGCGCACCTCCGACATCGCTCCGCGATCGCCGAGGTGAAATCCACGCGAACGCGACGGAGACGTGAATTCTCGAGAACGTTGATATACGTGAACGCGCGCACGCGATCGAGTATTTACATATTTTAAGGAGTCAGACGAGTGCGGGAGCGGACGTGACAAGCGCGCGTCACATCAAATCACATATCGCATCACGTCGCGTCGCGTCGCGTCGCACTTGTGCCGCTTGTGCGAGGCGAACAGCAGATTACGGAGGGAATGTAGTGGATAAAAGACTCGTCGCTCACCGCGGTGACGGGAAGGAAGGGAAATTCAGCTCGGACGAGTTCGGGACACCTCGGTTAATCAATGATAATAGTCATCGACGTACGAACGTACATAGATTTGTTTTGTTATCGCAGGAAGCGTTTGAAATATGATCACGTGAAAAGGTTTTTTTTTTTTACTCGATTAACGTTTCCAGCAATGCAGATTAATTTTATTTGTCCTTATCGGTGTCTGAGTTTATAGATTATTAGTTTTAATCTCAGTTCACTTTTTTCAATTCTTAGAAAAAATAGAAAATGATGACGAGTAAGTTGATGAAAGTTATAATCTACATTGGTAGAAACAAGCATTACAAGGTATTTTGATTTACAATATAATATATATGATTTTTAAGATGCAAAATCTGTATCATTTGTCTTGTAATAAAGAAATAACATTTACACTTTATTATGTATTTGATATTTATAAAAAAATAAAAGTAAGTAAATAACTTGTTAAAAAAAGAACAGACTTTAATTTGACATATGTATCAGCCTTAAATGTTTGTTTATTTGTGTTCATAATGTTCATTGTATATGGTTTCATGAATCTTCATTCGCCATGATTCACCACTGCTGTCGTAAACAAATTCGCTAATACGTGACCTACATTTGAATTCCAAAGTTCGAAAATGAAGAAGCGTGACTAAATATCAAGCAAAACTGAAAATAAACTACGGGACACTCTTATTCATTGCTAAGAATAAGAGTGAAGACTGCTGTCGTCGCGTCATAGGTTAAGTTTAAGTGGAGAATTAAAGGGAAAGGAGCGAACGTGTTTTTACACGTTCAGGATGACGTTACCCGGCATTGGGGTGTTTGGCACAGGTAGCATCGTCAGGATTATTATACCCTTTCTGAGAGAAAAGGGCTTCAGAATCGAGGCTATATGGGGTCGTACACTGGCGGAGGTTTCGGAGGTAGCAAACGATCTCCAAATACCGTTTCATACAAGCCGCATAGATGATGTTCTTCTGAGGAAGGACGTGGACCTGATCTTCATAATGTGTTCGCCGAGCTTGCATTCCCAAATCGCTGTCAAAGCTCTAGGCATAGGAAAACATGTCGTATGTGATAAGCCTGCAGGTCTAAGCCAAAGTGAAGCCTTGAAGATGGTACGAGCCGCACAGTATTATCCTTCGCTGATCAGTATAGTCAATCACAGCCTAAGATTTTTGCCAGCCTTCGTACACATGAAGAAAGTATTGGAAGATGGATATTTGGGTGGACCTGTAACAGTCATAGAAGTCCGAGTACACATGGGTAGTTTATTGCACAATGGTAAACACAGAGAAATCAAATGCATTTTTACATACTTAATATAAGAAATTATTTCATTTTTAATTTAATCATTTTGGCTGATGAAGATAAATATGAACTGTTGATGATATTCCGATGTTATTTCACTTTGATTGAATTGTTTTATATTTATTATAATTTTATAGGATGTCAAAACAATTGTCACAACTCAAAATGGATAATTTTTAAAGGATATAAAATAACAAAAATGACATTTGCTTGTGTTTCTAAGAGTATATCTCTCTTTTTACTGATATTATTTGATTAATCAATAATTTTTTGTTAAAGAAATTTTGTTAAAAAAAACTTTCCTGAAAAAGTTAATTTTTCGTGACTTCTTTTGAAGTAAAAGAATGATATAAAGATTTTAAAATCGTTAAAAATTTTAAAGAAAATTAGAAACAAAAAATATTTTAAAAATAATAAAAATTATTGTTTTTTTATTTAAAATATTTTCTTTTATGTATATATGTGTATATATAGAGAAATTCGAAAAATATAATTCTTATATTTTGTATAATTAATTAAAGAATTTGCATAAAAATATTTGATTAGTATTTAAATTGCAATTTAATTTGTTAATTATTTTAGGATATGATTGGTTATGTGATGACACAATGGGTGGAGGAATCTTAGCATTGGTGGGCAGTCATGTTATAGATTTGATTTTTCATTTGATGGGTCAACGAGCTTCGAAGGTGCATGCTGTTGTGAGAACATTTACCCAAACAACCAAGTATATTAATGGGATCAGGCACGTCACGTCACCAGATTTCTGTAGCTTTCAAATGGAGTTGAGTGGTGGTACCTTGGTAACGGCTACTCTAAGCAATCATTTGCAAGGTCAGCTCTCCCAAGAGGTGCTGATATGCGGAGGTGGGAATCATCTGATTGTTCGAGGTGGAGATTTATATGGATGCCGTGGTGAACAAGAGGAAATCCTGTATCGTGACACGGATGACTTGCAAGGAATATCCTTACCGATTGCGGACTCTATACCCAGGCCTTACATCAAAGGACTTAGGAAGATGATTGCGGCGCTAAGAGAAGCCTTTCAATCTGTGGAGGATAAAAGAGGATGGATTAAAGAACCAGTGTTTTCCGCTTCTACGTTCGAAGATGGTCTATATGTGCAAGCGGTTATTGATGCGCTGCGACAAAGTAACAAACAACGTGGATGGGCGAAAGTTAACATTCTGACAGAAGAGCCGGATCCGAATCCTTTGCTGAGCGCTGCTGTCAGAGCTACAGCCATCTCGATATAAGAGTCTGCTTTGCAAAAGCTTTTCATTGCTTATGAAACTGTGCTATACTGCTATAATATATATCCGATAGACGTAAAAATTGTACTGATACGTTAATTGCGAGAAATAATTAAGGTAGCTATCATCAATTTTTATTTTTCTATCATTTAATTAATTTGTGATTACTTATGTAATCTTTTTGCACAGAAAAACATTAATGTATAATTAATTTATCTCTATTGTACATACATATACATATATACCTATGTATAAAAATATTTATATTTATAAATACTGGTTGTGCTTAAAGAAATAAGGTATATTGATTTATAAATGTATAATGTAAAGATGAAAAATTAAAGATGTTATAGAAAAATAAAAATTACATAGTGCAAAATATTTTAACTATAACATCTTTATTTTTTTATGTCTGATAACACTGTATATGTCTGATTAGTAATAAATATTTGTATTTTAATCATCTAATCATAAATTCATTTATGTTTGACATTTGTGTAAATCATCTGTCTGAAATATTGCATTCCTTCTGTCTATGTTTTCTTACTCCATGATTGTAACTATCTTAGTATTTCCCGCGTAGTCAGTGTGAATTCGAAGATGGCAGGTGACGGTATTGTCGACGAAGATGAACCCATGGAGACTGATTGTGAGATTTTACCGTCCACAAGCAACAGTAACGTGAAAATCAAGGAGAAAGATGGCAAATCTGCAAATTTACCGTGGTACGTTTTATATCTGTAATGGAATATTTCATTTCTAGCCTTCGATTGCCGTGTTATTGAGGTTATCTTTTGTCTTCCTAGATCTTGCAATTTTAAATAAAGTAGCATATTTAAATCTGAATAGAGATGTTTGAAAAACATAATTAAACTCTAAAAGAATATTCTAATTCATTTTGAATTGGTATTTAGTTTATAATTGATATTTGGTTTATATGTTTGGACATTGAAAGCATAATAATAGATCTGTTCTTTTTAGCTAAACTTCTTGTATGGTTTATCTTTTCTTTTTATCTTTGAAGAAAAAAAGGAGAAGATGAATTATACAAGTTCAGCTAAAAAAAAAGAATAGATTTAATATTTTATATAGATAGCAGTATTGATTAGTTGCATGAAGATTCCTTCAGCTGTTATACTATGAATGATATAAACATAAGAATATTATCAATTATAATATTAGTAATATTTATAATATCAGTAGTTATAAATATAACAATATTATTAATTATTTAAATATGAGAATGTTATTATTAATTGTTTTCATTTAGGATTGAGAAATATCGGCCTCAGGTCTTTTCTGATATTGTTGGCAACGAGGATACTGTATCAAGATTATCTGTTTTTGCTCAGCATGGAAATACTCCGAATATTATCATCGCCGGTCCACCTGGAGTAGGCAAAACTACTACGATTTTATGTTTGGCTCGTATCTTATTGGGACCAGCATTCAAAGAAGCTGTACTTGAACTAAATGCTTCGAATGAGAGAGGAATAGATGTAGTTAGAAATAAAATAAAAATGTTTGCTCAGAAAAAGGTAAAGATAACTGTATAAGATACTGGAGTTTTTTTTTAATTTTTAGAAATTTTGAATATGATTGTTTTAACTTGCAGGTGAATCTTCCAAAAGGAAAACATAAAATCATTATTTTAGATGAGGCTGACAGTATGACTGATGGTGCGCAACAAGCGTTACGCCGAACAATGGAAATTTACAGCCACACAACTAGATTTGCTCTAGCATGCAACAATACAGAGGAGATTATTGAACCTATACAATCAAGATGCGCTATGTTAAGATATGGAAAGTTAACGGATGCTGAAGTCTTAGCCAAAGTTCTTGAAGTCTGCGAAAAAGAGAATGTAATTAAAATAATACAAATGGAAATTCTAACTTGACTTACAAAATTACTTATGTCTTACTGTTTTGCAGGTTTCTTATACAGATGACGGCATGGAAGCAATAATATTTACAGCTCAAGGTGACATGAGACAAGCTCTAAATAATCTGCAATCTACATACAATGGATTTAATCATGTAAATGCAGAAAATGTATTTAAAGTCTGTGATGAGCCTCATCCTTTGATTGTCAAAGATATGTTGGATGATTGCATAAAGGGAGATGTTTCTAAAGCATGCTCGGTAAAATATAAGTGTTTAAAGATAATAATATATGTGCTTATTCAGATATACATATATTATCAAATCTACAAGTTATACTTATTATAGGTAATGGATCATTTCTGGAAAATGGGTTATTCTGCGGAAGACATAATTAGTAATGTATTTAAAGTTTGTAAAAATCATACTATAGATGAGAGATTAAAATTGAAATTTGTGAAGGTAAAAATTGCATGCTACAGCTTTAATTTATGTTGACGTACAATATTATATTCATTTTTATATACTTTATAAATATTTTTAATATTTGCAGGAAATTGGAATAACACATATGGGAATAGTAGAAGGTATTAACAGTTTATTACAGTTACACGCTCTGGTGGCAAGACTTTGTCGCGCATGTTCGTCGAAATAATTATGTAAAATGATTCTACCTTATTATCCTTTAATAAATATATTTTCTATATTTTTTCTTATGTATTTTTTAAATTTATGAATCTTTTAATATTCTGTCGGGTTTGGAAAAACCTCGACAAAATTATTTTTCTAGAAAATCTGTTTATTTGCGATATTAAAGTATAAACGCACGATACAGTTCGTAAGTCTAAATATTGTTGTATATGTTCAACATGTTAATGCGCAGTTCGTTAAAAGTGACGATAAGACTAGCAAATTTAAGAAAGAAAATTTTATTTCTATGCAATATTAATTAATTTTTGCCTTTATAACGTAATGTTATGTTACGAGGCAAGTATTTTTCAATACACATTGTGAAATATATTGTACTCAAAATTTTTTCTCTTGATTATTTCAAAGATAAATCATCATAACTTTGTACATTTATACACTTAACTATGTAGTAAAAATATTTAATTAACAAATAACATTAATTAATTTTACGAAATTGCAATATATATATATATATATATATATATATATAAATTATATATATTTTTTTTACACATAGT